TCTAGAATGAGAGTCTTCAAGGCAGAAGGGAAAGGTTGACCTTTCTAGGTTTTATGGCTTGCTTTGAGGGAGAAGAGTACTGATTTCTCTGACCTGCCTTAGGGAAGGAGAATTCTGGTATCTGACTCACTTAGGTGGGAAAGGAGGGGCAGGAGTAGGTCAGAGAGACCTTGCTCTGAGGCCCTCCCTGTATCCTTCAGTTTAAAGTACATAGAATGCCAAAGCACCGTTGTTGGGGAATCGTGTTCTGAGTCCCAGCACTTCATAGCAGCATTATTCACAATAACCAAAAACTCAAAACAGCCCAGTCGGTCCACGAACTGATAAATTAGCAAAATGTGATATATTCATAGGGTACAATATCATATGGCAAAATAATATAGAATGGAAAGAGAGTACTAGGACATGGTACAATGTAAATGAACCTTGAAAACATTAAAAAGTAATTTTTATTTTTTTAATTTAATTTTATTTTTTTTTGCCATAGGATATATGCACTTGACAGAGAGAGCGGGAAAGTAAGAAATTGCTCTCAGAGAGGTTGGCCACACTGCAATCCCCTCTCTTCCATTCTCCTCTTGTGATTTTGGGCATGCATAACCCATGCACCTGACATGATTTTCAAGCCACCAGGTCTGGGGCTCTAACTGCCAAGTTGGCCTTGTGGGTCAGTGCTATAACTACTATGCCGCCTGCCGGCACAAGCCTTGAAAACATTATGCTAAGTGAAAGAAGCCAGTCACAAAGGACCACATCTTATATGATTCTATTTATATGAAATTCTAGGCCATGTAGACAAATCTGTAGGGACGGAAAGTAGATTGGTGGTTTACAGGAGCTGGAGAAGATGAGGGGTTGGGTATGATGGCTGAGAGGAATGGGGTTTCTTCTTGGGAAAGTGAAAATGTTCTAGAAGTGTGTGATGGATGTACCACTCTGACTGTGCTAATAAATGCCATTTTATATGCTTTAAGTGAGTAATTGCATGGTATATGAATTATATCCCCAAAAGCTGCTAAAAACACGTAAGGCGATAAGAGAAAATAAGTCATTTGTTCTTTATTATAAACTGCTGACCTCAGTACTCAGGAATTTATTAGAATTCCTAACTTGAATTTTCAGATATGAGTCAGTTACTAACTGCATTCGAATATCACTTGTTTATTCCGAAGAAGTAATTAGGAAATCCAAAATAAAATGACGCTGTTGGAAATATTTTAAGCATTTCCCACTTTGCGATATGACATATTTCCATGTTTCTGTCAGATATCTTAGTTTAGAAATAATCCTCCATTTTTTTCTTGTCTCGTACTTGGCTGCCTGTGTTACTCAAGTGGGAACTGAAAATGGAAGTCTCCATGAAAGGCTTGGCCTGAAGGTTTTCTCCCAGGGTGTCTACGTGTCTTAAAGCTGAGAAGACAGGCTCATCCGTTAACCTTTGGTTATTGTGAAGTCATGTGGATTTGAATAACATTGTATTTGGGTAAAGGAAAGAGATTTTCCTCTCACTTGGGGTTGATGTTCAGAATTTGACTCACTTAGATTTAACAGCATTATGTAGGCTAAGATTAACGATTGGACTGATTTACGTTTCTTGTATGTCTTTCTATGACATTTACCTTGCAGCTAAGAAATGTAGTCTGGGTTCCATTTTAGGTTGAGAAATGCAGTCGGTCTGGGTTCCATTTAGGCTAGTGCTTTATATCAGTCCCGTATGAATGTCTGGAATGGGAAAAAAATTCTGAGGAATCTGGGATGACTTTCTTATCCCAACCAAATCGAGCTCTCTTGGTGATTTCAGTCTGTTTTTTGAAGTATTATAAATTCTTTTATATACATATATATTTAAAACATTATCTAATTCCATTTGTTATTTTTTAATTTGACCAGAGAGAGAGACAGAGAGAAAGAGAGAAAAGGGAAGCAAGTGAACAAACCACCAGGTCCAGGACTCTAACCACTGTCAGCCATGTGGGAGCCCAGCACTTTAACCAACATGCCACCTGCTGACCCCAAGTGTTGTAAATTCCTCACCAGATCATCCCTCAAACTCATGTTCAAAGGCAAATACCAAAGTATATCCTAACACCAAATATGAACACATTTTAGATCGGCTGCCACTTTAGATGACTTACATCATGGCTCCCTTCATCATCGCAAATAATTCTTGCACAGTTGGCAAAGAGAATAGGAGCTCTGACTCAGTGAGTGTTTCATGAAGAAATAACACACTTTTGAAATTTCCCAGGGAGGAGATTACCGTGTCTTTTGAAATCTCAAGGAGAACACACCTCACTACAAAGATCCAGAATGCTGATGAAGGTGAAACCTTGTATCCTGTTAACAGCCCCCTCCCTCATGGCCATATGCTGTCCTTGCAGAAGCTCTACTGTGAAGCTGCAGTGTGGGGTGGTCTGCATAGGAGAGACATGACCTGACCTTCTGTGACCTGATCTTCTGGGGTTCTTCATTTAGTGGGACTGTGGAGTCCTGCGTGTGATGTAAAACCAGTGACCAGTGTTGCTATTTGTTTGGTGTTTGGCCATTTATTTTTCTGTAAATCACTTAGATGGTTTAAAAACTTTGATTTAAACTGTTCATTGTGGTAATGAGAAGTGCGATGGTGCAGAGATTGCACCACCGTTTGGGAGGCTGAAAGCCTCATGGGAGGCCTGCATTCATTCTGGTAGGCTCCATACGCTGAGCGCTCCTGCCCGCTCCCTCCTTTCCTGTCTGGCTGGGTCTCGTGAACACCTTGTGACTGTTCGCTTACCTCATGGGAATGGCTCGTGGCCAAGGTTGTTCTAGAGGTGTGCGCCCCTCTTCCACATCAGTATCCCAAGGTCAGAGGCACTGAATGCATGTACAAGCTCAGATGATTCTGGTCATTGATAATGTGACCTTCTTTGTGATCTTCGAACAATGTATGTAGAAACCAAACTCGCCCCGTCTTGGAGACAGGGAGTCTGTGCGGATCTTACAGGTGATGGAGGTACTCTGGGTCTTAATGTATGTAACCTCAGCCTGTGCTCTGACAGCACGGGCCATTCTTTGCAGGCCATCAGTGGAGCATGCTGTCCTGTGTATGTAATTAATGAACTCATGTCTTCCCTGCTGGACCTTGCTGCATTCTTTGGGATTGGTAAACATCATAGGCAAGCCCTCTCATGTGGAGCCCCCCTCATTCAGTTCACTTGCAGCCCTGAACATGAAGGGCATGGTCGTGTGTGTGCCTGTCATCCTAACTAATTGGAGGTTAGGGTGGGAGGACTGAGACAGAGCCAGACCCTGTCACAAACACCTGTCTTTCTCTCTCTTCCTTCCCCCATACCCCCTTTTTCTCTCTCACTTAAGAAAAAGGAAATAACCTTTGGCAGGAACTAATTGTGTATTTGAGACAAAACTATTCGTGCGTTTATTCAGTTAATGAATAGTCAGCTTTATAGAACAGGTGAAATAAAACTGTCAGTGTAGGAGAGGAAAAAAAGCAATTCTCTCTGCCCTTCTGGGACCCTTATAACAAAAGACAGGTTAATGAAAGAAAAACAAACAGAAGTTTATTTTATTTTTTAATTTTTCTATAGGGCACGTGTACTTGCAGGAGAGAGAGGAGAGGAGAGAGTGAGAAAGTACCCCTGGGGGGAGGAGGGGCGACTCCGCTGCAGTCTCGTCTCCACTTTCCTCTTAAGAGCGTGTGCACTCACCAGACAGAGAGAGACAGAGAGACAGAAAGAGAGAAATCACCCCCCAGGGGGGATGGCCACACCACAATCCCTTCTCCTCCGTTCTCCTCTCGGGATCTTGGGCCCGCACACACACACACGCACAGTGTGAGTTTTAAGCCACTGGGTCCAGGATGCGAACCGCAGTTGACTACGTGGGAGTCCAGCGACATAGTCATTACGCTAACTGCTGGTCCGCCTCTTGGGATTTTGGACATGCATGGACACGTGTCTGGAGTGTATGTCAAGCTGCTGGGCCTGGGACTCGCACTGCGCAGTCAGCCATGCAGATCCAGCCATCTCAGCCCTACTCCACCTGTCCAGACCAGGAGTTTCTGAGCATGTATACGTGGGAGGTACCTTTGGGAAACTGAGTAACTGTGATGGTGGTGGTCCAGCCCCCCAGGTTATATAGCGCCTTCAACCCAAAACAAAGAAAGAAGGTGTTTAAATTAGATAAACAAGAGTCAGATTTGTTACTCATAGGTGTTTTTTTCATTGATTAAAACTTTTTGATGGGGACCAGCAGGTGGTGTGGTGGTTAAGGTGCTGGACACTCCCACATGGCCGACCAGGGTTCAAGTTCTGAATCTGGTGGCTTGCTTTCTCATTTTCTCTCTCTCTCACTCTCACCTTCTGTCTCTCTCTGGTCAAATTAAAAAATAAATGAATGAATAAATAAAGTAAAATAAATAATTACTTAAAAAAAATTTTTTTTTTGATGTAGTCTTTCCTCTCTTCCTGGTTCAGAGAGGGAGCTGCCAAGTGGAGATTTTCTTGATAAATGTAAATTTCCCTTAGGAAAGGGAAACCTCTACTGTTTCAGAGCTTCTCCTGTGTTTGCAGTTTCTCAAAATAATCAGCTCAAAATAATCCTTATGCCATTGAGGCATATTTTGGGGTGGCACATTCTGGTCACCTACGTCATATTTTGTGGTCTCCTACACAATCGAAAGGTATCCGTCTTCACCCGCTTCCTGGAAAAACGGTGCCAGGGAGCCAAACACCAAAAGTGCCATTAGTTTGGCTGTGATAGATGTGGTGACAGGGGCATCGTTTGTGATGCCAGCATGGCACAGGGGATTCTCTATTGCTCGTTCCTTGTCATAAGTCTGTCATCCTGCAGAGTCTCTGATTCTGGCCTTACACTACTGTGAAGTACAAAACCACACCCAGCCACGGCTGCCAATAGGCATTTGTGGTAATAGAAAGACAAGTTGATAGAGGTCTCACCTGCATTTTTTTTTTTTTCTCTCCCATCTCTTGCATCCTTACTAGGCAAAAGTAGAAGAAAAGATCCAAGAGGTCTTCAGTTCTTACAAGTTCAACCACCTTGTACCAAGGTAAGCTATGGTTAGGAGTTGGGGGGACCTGGGGAGCCACCTCCTGTGTTTCCTCCTGAGCTTATCTAACCACGAGGAGCAGCCACTACAAGACTGGGGCTTCTTCACCTGTGGCTACCCCTGCTCTTCTCTCTGGTAGAATATGAGATGCTCCACCCGACCTGAACTGCAGTCGGCTCTGAGGGAGTCCAGCGATGTAACCGCCGTGCCAACTGCTGGCCCGAGATGCTCCACTTAGCTGAGCTGCCAGGTGTGATGTAGAGCTGTCTTTCGAGGCCTAAACTGAGGTCTAAAGATGGAGAGACATTCAGGTTTTCGTGCAGTTGTGGCTGCTGCTCTAGTGTTCAGACGAGAACTCTTAAGTTTTTCTTTCTCATATTGCCCTTTGAAACAGATAGAGTCCAGGGGGATGGCAAAGGGTGATGTAAATTATTATTTGAGGCTTGAGCCTCTCTCTTCCTGGTCCTTCTTGATCATTGTGAAGCAAATCCCAGGGATGAAATTTCAAATGGGAAATAAAATGCCTTTTGTTATTCTTGGAGTTTTGTAAGCTGAAGTCTTCTAAGTAAGTCCTGTGAGATCAAAAATTCCAAAAAGGGTATTAAAGAAGAGATTTATTTTAAAGTCTGAATCCTTATATTCTCTTTTCCCAGTATTTTATAATATGTCACACTAGAATTTCATAAGGCTATTTTATTCCTTTCTTAGTGTTTCTCTTCTAGTAAGAAATTGTTTCTCTGAAACTATCTTGTGTTATATTTCCAGCCATCAGGATTGCTCAGTAGCCCCAAACTGTGTGTAGTCATCATTTTATCTTAATGATAGACTTCGATAATCTCTGAACGTAGTCTGACTAGGCAGCTGGATGAGTCACCCTGACTGGGAAACTGCAGGTTCTGAAGTCCAGCCCGACCGACTTCCTTTATGATGTCTCGGACTCTTCTGGACTCTCTAATGGAATTCATCCTTGCAAGTCAGTCTCTGGGTATCTCTCCTTATCGGCTATTACAAATTATTCCAGCCTGTTTACCTTTGGCTCTTTTTTGCCACCATTCTATTTTATCATCATTTCCTTAAAAAAAAAAAAACACACACACACACACAAAAAAACGATTAGCCAAGGCCAAAACCAGTTGGGAATAGCAAGTGTTTATAGGGAGAAATAGGTGGGAAGTGAACTTCATCTTCCATGGGGAAAGAAAGAGAATATCAGCTACCTAGAGGAGGTTTTTCCAAACTGCTAAATTAAATCTCTGCATTAACCCAGAGCTTAGACCTCAATAAAATGAATGATTCCTCTTGTCGTGAGCCACAGCTGGAGATTAGCAAATGGCGTCATTTATTTAAACAGCTTGGGAGAATGAGCTCTTAGATATAAAGGCATTCATCCATTGCGGTTCTGTTGCCAGAACAAGCTTATCTTCCCCAGAGGTGGGGGGACTTGTTGATGATGAGAAGCTTGCTTGCTTCAGGGAGGGCTTTGTGGTTACCAGATGTACCCCCTGGATGACTCACCTGATTGGTCTCTGAGTCACTGTCTGTTGCCTGGGGCTCAGTGGACACACGTCCTGAGTTTCCGACACAAGGGACTTTAAATGATTTGACATATTTCACCTACCATCAGAATAGAGCCCGTGGACTCTTTTATTCTTACAGAGCTATGAGAAGAAAGCTGGGGTACAGTCTGGGAGGAAGTTGTTTTTGAGGAGTGGCAGTGGAGGACAATAAAGGAGTAGAGTCCCCTGATTCATAGGTCAGGTGTGGGTGGAAAACAAAAATGTTCCTCTTGGATCTTTGTGGGAATAGAATATATTAGGGCTCTGGGTTTGTTTAAGGAATCTGACAAGTTCCTGTTTTATCATCGTGGTCTATAAAAATGAATGTTTTAAAGAATGCCAATTAGCATGGTAATTAACATCAGAGATCTTACACATTGTGCCTGAATTCAGGCTAAGTATATAAGTCATGTCCATATAAGGCTGAAGCTGGACTTCGGCCATCATAGAATGAACTTCTGGGATATAAAGAAGAAATCTGAAAAGATCAGAGTTAAACACTTTGATCACAGTTTCAATATTTAACGTTTGTGGACTCTTTTATTCTTACAGAGATATGAGAAGAAAGCCGGGGTACAGTCTGGGAGGAAGAAGTTGTTTTTGAGGAGTGGCAGTGGAGGACAATAAAGGAGTAGAGTCCCCTGATTCATAGGTCAGGTGTGGGTGGAAAACAAAAATGTTCCTCTTGGATCTTTGTGGGAATAGAATATATTAGGGCTCTGGGTTTGTTTAAGGAATCTGACAAGTTCCTGTTTTATCATCGTGGTCTATAAAAATGAATGTTTTAAAGAATGCCAATTAGCATGGTAATTAACATCAGAGATCTTACACATTGTGCCTGAATGGCTAAGTATATAAGTCAACATGTCCATATAAGGCTGAAGCTGGACTTCGGCCATCATAGAATGAACTTCTGGGATATAAAGAAGAAATCTGAAAAGATCAGAGTTAAACACTTTGATCACAGTTTCAATATTTAACGTTTGAGGACTCAGAATTTAAGAGTCTGACAGCGTCATGCGGGAAGAAATCCTCCCTGCTAGTTAAAGCGCGTATTCAGAGGGTCGCGGTGAATCCAGCGCATCGAGATGCTATGGCTTGTTTGTGTCTCAGAGGTCATGATGCTGACCAGAGGTGACAGAACCACCCATGCTCCCCGGACCGCTGGCCACCCACAGGCCCAGGGATGCCTGCAGTGGTGCTCAAGTAGGCATTCACCCATTCCACCTTCACAGACTGGCAGTAATTCAAGGCTGGAGCTGGATGTTGGTCCATTTTATAATTAATCCCCTTCTCTAAAGTGATTTCCTCGCTCTAAAGCTGTGAAATGTGCATCCTATCCTGGAGTGAGGTAGCTGGTTCCAAGGAGCTTTTTGACTCTGCTTCAAATAATTTTGTTTGTCAGCATCCTGCTTTCCTGTGAACGTTGATTTTTCCCACTCTTCCACATGCTTATGAATTTGCTCTTCTCTATGTACTACATTAGCTTTAAGAAGAAATCTGAAATGCGTCAGGCACATTCATACACACACACACACACACACAATTTTTTTTATCCTTTTTTGCTTTTTGAGGTTTTTGCCATAGGGCACATGTGGTCACCAGAGATAGAGACAATGAGAGGGAAAGTGAGAAATCACCCCCCCCCAGGGGAGATGGCCATGCCACAATTCTTTCCCCTCCAATCTCCTCTTAGAATTTAGGGCATGTGCACATACACATGTCCTTTGTGACTTTCAAACTTCCAGGTCTGGGACTCAAACCTTGGTAGACCATGTGGGAGTCCAGCACCTTAACCACCATGCCACCTGCTGACCCCTAAATATATATTTTCTTCAGAGTCTTGCTGTGTTACGATCCTTCAGCCTCAGTCTCTCGAGTCTTTGAGATTACAGACGTGTACTACTGCACCCAGCCTTTGGGTTGGACAAGAATCAGACCTGGGCCTCCCATGTGATCCCAGCTCATGGAGCACAGTCTCTTAGTAGCTCATGCCACCACAGCTGGGCCTAGACACTTCTTTTTTTTTTTTTTTTTTAATTGTTTTCTCCTAGGCAAAAGTGGCCTAGTGCTCCTTGGAAGTGAGAAATATCGTTAACGTCTTTGCCTTAATAGAGTCCTGTAGATCAATTGTGATAATGGCTCTGAAACCAGAATACCCTTAGTTAAAGCTCTCAAAGCAGTTTTCACACAGGCATCTGCTTAGCTTCCATGTCTCCTACAGTTCCTAATTATTATGTAGTTAGAAGATAGACTCTTTCTTCCTGTGGTGCTTCCCAAGGTCCTTGCAGGTAAGTGTACCTTCCTCCCCACGTTCCCTCAGGTGGTCCATTTTGGTCATGCTGGATGGTTACTTTTTGACTAGAGAGACCCTGGCTTCAGTGGGTTTAGACAGTTCTCAAGAGCTGGCAGTGGACTGAAGGTCCTCTCTTTTTTCCTTGTAATTTGCTGGAGGGCATGTATGCTGACCAGAGAGAGGGAGAAGGTAACCTGCAGTGTGATGTGGTCTTTCTGTAATCCCTTCTTTCCATTTCTCCCTATTGGGACTTCAGGCATACGTACATATGTGCTGGGCATGTTTGACCAGAGAGAGGGAGAAGGTAACCTGCAGTGTGATGTGGTCTTTCTGTAATCCCTTCTTTCCATTTCTTCTCCCTATTGGGACTTCAGGCATACGCACATATGTGCCGGGCATGTTTTTCAAGTCACTGGGTCCAGGACTCGAGCTGTGTGATTGGCCATGTGGAAGCTGGTTTCCCTTAACCACCTGACCATGGGGCTGCCCCCTTTCCCATCTTATCTGTCACACCCAAACAGCATCTGGGATGCTCTAGATTGAGGGAGAGGAAGTTTGGTCGCCTATCCCACTCAGCTGTATTCGCTTGTCACTCATTCAGCAATAGTAGCTGGAGGGTCTTCAAAGGGTCAGCCACTCTGCTGGACTCTGGGACGCCGGCATGAGCGGGCTGGCCCTGTCCTTGCCCCCTGCTGGGCTCTTGAGCTCATGGGGGAGATGGACTTTAAACAAATAAACACAATGAGATGCTCTGAGAGAGAATCACAGGGAGGATCTAATTTAGGTTGAGAAGTCAGGGAAGACCTCTCAGAAAGTGACATGTAAGGTGAGACCCGCAGGGGAATAGGATTGGCCAATTTAGGGAGTGTCAGGGCAGAAGGAACAGCATGTGTTAAATCCCTGAGACTGAAAAGAGCAGAGCTCAAAGAAAGCCTCGAGGTTGGAGAGAAGTAGGTGGAGGCATATCACGAAGGGTCTTAAAGCCCGGAGAGCTCACCCACGATAAGAAACAGGATTGACCTCACTGCCCACTGCATCTGCACACATTCGTGAGTTCCTCCCCAGGCAGTGGGAGTCTGGCTTCCAGTATCCTTAATGACCTCCCGGTCTGCTTTGCGTCCTAGTCTCCTGTCCCTTCTGTACAGTTG